TCGGACAGTGCAAGATATGACAAAATAATAATTTATAAATTATCAAGGGTTCATGGGGGGGTGGGGGGAGCAGGGACTGAGAGGGGGAAATGAGCTGATGCCAGGGGCAATGAATGTACAAATGTGCTTGACACAATTGATGTATGTGTGGATTGTGATAAGAGTTGTATGAGCCCCTAAGAAAATGATTTTTAAAAATCCATCCAACATGGTTTCTATTTGGATAATTGGAGATTATTAAAATAATTCACCACTTAATAGTTCAATATAATACTGTTCATCTCATTAGCATCGATAGAATGGAAGAATCAGAGACGAGATTGTTGATATCTGCCAGCAGCCTCAAAATCCAGCCTGACGTCACTGCAGTAGCGATAAGACAAAATCAGTGGTGTAGATGCTCCCCAGTTCTTGGGTGATAATGAGGGGGCAGTGTCCTTTGGAGCAGACACCAATGAACCAGCCAGGAAATGCCACAGACTCAAAAGTGGAGGTTCTGCCATTCTGGTTGTGGTAGAAGAGGAAGGGTTTCACAGGCTCCGTCTGATGGTATAAATCCAATATATTCTGTTTCTAAAAGGTGGAAAAGAGAGGTGGGGAAAAACATGAGAGCTGAACTGTTCAAGGTTCTCCATACACCGACATGTTGTGGCCAAGATAGGCTTACTGTAGCAGGCCCAGAGCCCTCTCATTCATACAATGACATTAAAACGACAAACTCCACTAATTTTATATGTGTTAACATTGTGATTGAAACTTTAGGCCACAAATTCAGTGGTCCTAATAAATCAGAAGTCGTTGGCATAAAAATTTGGAGGATGCAAAATTCTGGATTAGCCATTATCTGTTGCTTAGAAATGGAGTGACCTGAAGGATACACAAATCACATTGACAGTAAATTTTTGAATTAAAATAATCATTGCTGTTTGTCACATTTCTCCAATATCAGCACTATTTAATATTTGAGGCTACATCTCATTGCTGCACCTATATTATTCCAGTCAAAAATGTCTCTGGACATTGTCAGATGCCCGAGATGCAAAATTACCCCAAGCAAAGAACTGTGTTTTATGTTTTATCATTAAGTCAAATTTCTGCCTAGCCTAGTTTATTGAATAGGGCTAAAATGGTTCCTATAACATACAAATGCCTGGTTTAATAATTATTTTCACATAACCGATAGATTTTTTTAAACTGTACTCTGCAATTGCTAAAATATTTCTTACAAATAATTGTGTTTATTTACTTAATAGTACAAACTATTTTTATGTAAAATAGTGATATGCCCATTCATCTTATAATAATTAACTGTTAAAGTCCTTTCTGATCTTGGTATGTGTGTGTATATATTTATAAATCCTTGACAAATTATTTATTTTCTTTTTCTAACCCCAACCCGAACTCTAAATCCTTGACAAATTATTTATGTAAATAAAATAAAAAGGGATTAAGCAGGTAATTTTCAAAATACTCCCTATAATTTTTTATTATTCTTTCACAATACATGCACCTGAGAAAAGTACCAAAAGTAAATATGCCTGTGAATAATAAAATGTCTATTAAACGATTCTAATATCTAGATTTTCCATCAGATGAGCTTTTTATAAATTAAATGGTCTTGAGAGTCAAGATGGTGTCCAGGTAGAATCACCTGCCCTGTGCTCCTGTCGTTAGATCAGAAAATTAAGAGGTAAGGAGACAAATATTGGGAGGCTGGGTGCTAAAAATAGATTCAGTGTATTAGGGTCTGTTTCAGAACCTCCCCCTACAATTTTCACCCATGGAGTAACTCTCTGAAATGCTCTAAGTTCACAGAGTCAGCCTGCGGGCTCTGCTAATCCCTCACCAGATCCAGTGGGATAGAGTCTGCCTGCCATTCCTATGCCCAAAATAGGAGATTTGTAGTGTGCAGTAATTTCCCCAAGCTGCTGTCTAAAGGTGGTCATAATCCCAGGGTCTCTCAGATCCTACCAAGAACTAGCTACAAGTTCTCACACCGGAGTTCCCCTCTCTGCTATCCACCCCACTCTTGCATTCTCCCTCCCCAGCCCAGGAAGGAAGTGACTACATCAGCAATCCTCTTTCCCCCTCCCCTCAGCTCCATGCCTGCCAGCATGGGTAACAGTGGATAATTAGTAACTAATTTGCAGCAATTGAGAAGTACTTAGGATATTTACTAGTGACATAGCTGTGCAGGAGAGCGAGGAGTGACAAAGGGTAACAGCTGGGGAAGAATTCAGATCTACTTGGCCCCCGAATCACTCAGCTAATCTTGTCCCCCTTTCCTGGGGGACAGCGCAGCACAGCCCCAATACCAGGCCATGCCACAAGTCCATTACAAGAAGAAAAAAATTTTTTTTTAACCTTTACAATTTCAGGCTGCCTTCCTTTACCTAACTTTATGTAAGCTGCCAGAAACCTGGCTCTGGTCTATAAACATGATATTAGCATAAGAAGACGGGCAGAATGCTGATCCCCAGAACACAGCCTAGGATTTTAACATAACAAAACAGGAAAAGCCAAAGGCTTAAAGCCACAGCCCAAGCCAAAAACTGGCTCTACCAGTTTGGGGTTCCATATAGAGTCTTTAAAAGATTTCAAATTGTGGCCAGACAGTCCATACCAGAGCTGTGCCTACACTACAGGCCCACCCCAACCCAGCCCAGAGACATACCAACAGTGGCCAACCTCAGTACACCTTCCAAGGTCCCACACTGCCTTTGGCCACTGAGTCACTGCAGCACTTCACCTACAGAGTGGCCTGACCCATCACCATAGTAGACCAAATCCACTCTAACCAGTTAAAACGAGAAAGAGCTCAGGGCCCCTCATTCCCTCAGGATCATGGCACCCAGTTCTTCCAAAACAAAATACAGACAGCAGCATACCTCAACACCCTCAATGAGCAAACAATGAAAACAAAATGCAACAGTGGAAGAAATCCTAAACCTAACGACACTCATAAAAGGAACATGTTGATCTGCAACAAAAAGAAATATTCAGAATGCTGCTTGAAGTAGTAGAGGATATGAGGGAAGCAATGCAGAATAAGGACGCAATGATGCAGGAAATGAAGTCCATGATAGAGGGGATGAAGTTCACGCATCAAAGGGAAATACAAGAACTAATGGATGAGGTAACAGAAGCAAAACACAAGATAAAGGACCTCACCAACAGACTAGAAGAGGCGGAGAATTGTACCAGCAATTTCAAGGACAATAAGGTAGACCTCAACAAACGGGAAAGACCATCAAACAAGATAATCACAGAAGCAAAAGAAAACCGAAGATCAATGACAGATGCTGTGTAGAGGAACACTATTTGAATAACTGCTCTTCCAGAAGAAGACACAATGAAGAAATCTCCAGCTAAATTAGCGAAGGAAGTCATGGAAGCGAACTTCCACACCTTAAAGAATGAGAATCAGACATTCATACAGGAAGCATCGAGGACACCAATTAGACTAACCCCCAGGAAGAACTCACCAAGGCACATAATAGTTCAATTATCCAACTTTGAGGGAAAAGAGCAGCAATGGGGAAAAAAGGCAGTCACATGCAATGGTGCTCAGGTAAAAATACGCTCAGACCTATCAGCAGATACCAAGAAGAGGAGGAGAGAGTAGAGTAACATCTTCTAAAATCTGCAAGAAAAAAACTCCCACCTGAGAATCCTCTGCCATGCCAAATTATCTATTGAGAAAGATGGTGAGGAAAAACTCAAAGAATACACCATAAGACACCCAACCCTGCAGAAAATCCTTGCTAATTCACTGTGGTCAGAAAACCAGCAACCATCAAGCACAAGCAGTATATTACCATATAGCTCAACTCCATCCAGAAGTCAATGCCCCCCAAACAATGGACCAAGATGACATTGCCTAAGAGGGACAAGAAGACAAGAATGAAGCTCCACAACAGAAGTACTGGCAGCAATAGAGGAATACGGAAGAGTGGCGGAATACAAGATCAACAAACAGAAGTCTATTGGTTTCCTATATACATTGGACAAGACCATGGAAGAGGAGATCAAGAAGGTAGTACCCTTCACAATAGCCAAGAGCAAACTGAACTGTCTAGGTATATATCTAACAACAACAACAAAAAAAGATTTATACAAGGAAAACTACAGAACCCTACTACAGGGAACCAAAAGAGACCTCCACAAATGGAAGAATACTTACCCAAGGCACTAAATAAGTTTAACGCTAACCCAGTTCTAATACCAACAACCTTCTTCAAATAATTGGCAAAACTGACCACCAATTTCTTATGGAGGGGGAAGAATCAGAGAACTCCACAAGAAGGAAAAAGTCCGAGGGTTCTCCTTACCTGAGTTTAATACCTACTATACAGCCACAGTGGTCAAAAGAGTATGGTACTGGAATAATGATTGATACTCAGACCAGTGACAAAGAACATAAAACTCAGAAATGAAACCATCAGCATATAGACAACTGATCTTCCAAAAGAACCCAAAAAGCATCAAGTGGGAGGTGGATGCCCTCATTAATAAGTGGTGCTGGAAACAGTGGACATCCAGCTGTAGAACAATGAAACAAGACCCTTACCTCACTGTGGTAGTTATATAATCTGGTGCCAACTTGAGACTATTAAGTGTGAAGGGGTGGAGTTTAGCCTATCAATCAGGACACTGCTTGATGACCTCATTTGGAGACTCTTTAGAGATAAATATTCACTGCAGGCAGGACACACACACTCTGCTAACCATTCCTGTTGACAAGCCACATAGAGCTGCGCTGATAGAGCCAGACCCTGGAGCTGAAGGACCACTTGGAGACCCACACCAGCACTAAGATGTATCTACCACCACTGGATCCTCAAGACTTTTCACCCATTGGTATGTGATCTTCCTGCATTCAGTGGCATTGCATGTGTTGTGTGAGTCTGAGGAGGAATCTACAGACTGGCATTGGACATATGGGCTAGTATAGACTTATGGACTTGATCTGGATTGGGTGGGATGGTTTTTTAATATACAATTACTCTATATAAAGCTCTTTCTTATACACATATGAGTGTCTATTAATTTGTTTCTCTAGTCTACCTGAACTAACATACTCACTGCATGCACAAGGACAAACTCAAGGTGGATCACACACCTAGAAGTAAAACCCCAAACTATCAGGACCATCAATCAAGGAATCAGGACAAACCTAAGAACTTTAGCTCAGGGAATATATAAGATAACAGAAATTGGGACAGGCACATACACAGATGAAGATGAAATTTACAAGTGGGAAATCCTAAGGATAAAACGCCTGTGTTCATCCAAAGACTTTACCAAGAGAGTAACAAGAGAACCCACAGACCAGGAGAAGATTTTTAGCAATGACACAACAGACAAACGGGTTATTACTGAAATCTATAATTCCCTCCTAGCCTGCAAAAAGAGGAAAATAGTTAACCCCCTGAGGAAGTGGGCAAAAGACCTACATAGAAGTTTCACTAGCGAGGATACCTGAGTGGTCAATAAACTTACGAGAAAATGCTTCTGATCATTATCAAACAGCGAAATGCAAATTAAAACAACTATGAGATACCACCTAACATCCTTGAGGATAGCCCAAATCAGAAACTTAGAGAAAAACAAATTTTGGAGTTGATGTGGTGAGATAGGAATTCTCCTCCACTGGTGGTCCTGTAGATATGTACTGACACTGTGGAAAGCCATCTGGCAATATTTAAAGCAAATGGAAATTGAGTTACCTTACAGCCCAGCAATCCCTCTACTGAGCATATACCCAGAAGAGGTAAGAAATAGACAAAGGCCAGTTGTCTGCAATGTTTATTGTGGCTCAATTTACAATGTAGACTAGACTCCACCCCTCCAATGTTTATTGTGGTGTAATTTACAATCACAAAGAATTGAAAACAACGTAAATTTCTATCAATAGACAAGTGGATTAGAAAACTGGCTGTGTTAGTCTGGGTAGACTAGAGAAACAAATCTATGAACACACATATGTGTATAATAAAGAGATTTATATACAAGAGCAATTGAACATTGAGAAAACATCCCAGCCCAGTCAAGATCAAGTCCATAAGTCTGATATTAGCCCATATGTCCAATACTAATCTATAAAGTCCTCTTCAGACTTATGAAACACATGCAATGACACTGAATGCAAAAAATCACAGGCCAGTGGATGGAAAGTCTTTGGATCCAGTGGCATGGCTTCTCCAGCACCCAGGGCTGCATCAGGGTGGGTCCATGTGTCTTGCCAGCTGCTATGTATCCCAGGGTGTGAGCAGAGAGTATCCCACCTCTAAGGAAGAAATATCAGATTTCCCAGAATTCTCAGGAGAAGGCCATGCCCACACAGAAGCCTTATTGGCTATGATCCGATTGACAGATTAGACTCGACCCCTTCACCCATAATCCTCTCAAATGGACAATTATATAACTACCGCACTGGTGCATACACACAATGGAGTACTACACATCACTTAAAAAGCACTGATGATAACATGAAGCACATTGTATCATGAGAAAAGTTGGAGGAAATTATGCTAAGTGAAGTTAGCCAATCACAAAAGCACAAGTGAGTCCACTGAAGTAAGTATAATCAGACAATACTGGGGACACACGGAGGGGAGTGGGTCCAGTCTGACCACCCCCACAGTGGAGCAAACCAAGAAGGGACGTTAACAGATGAGCAATGGGAGTAAAGCTAACCCCTTATCTCACCCTTGAACAGGGGACAGACCAAACCCAAGGATGTACATGGCATTCCAACACAAAGAAGGGAAGAAAAGGAGGAAAAGGAAAAAGAGAGAGACAAAGACATTGGGGGACTAGGGCCCTAATCCACCCAGGAAGAGGGTATCATTTATGTTTCCACGGAAATGGGAGTATAAGTGCAAACCCCACCATGGCACGCCAAACCTTGAGGGCAACATAACCACATACAGCAACTCATAAACAGAGAGGTCTATAGGGCCAGCCCCAATCAGAGCCAAACTGATTCCCCCACCCTCACCCCCCCCTAGAAATATGTACTAGAGGACAACACTAAACCTGCAGGTTGGGGAGAGGGTCAGCCTGCCACATCCATACAGAAGCAAACCAAGAAGGAAAAAGAGAGAGTGGGGGACTAGACCCCCTACTAGCACATCATGCCCTGAGGATGATGTCCCTGCAGGTAGCTGCTGAAGCACAGAGAGGATCTGCTGTAGGGCCAACAACAGCTCAAGACATGATGTCCCCTCACTGGAGCATACTGCGTCAGAAGACAATACCAGGGACACACGGCAGGGAGTGTGTCCAGTCTGACCACCCCCACAGTGGAGCAAACCAAGAAGGGACTTTAACAGATGAGCAATGGGAGTAAAGCTAACCCACAAAACCGCTGAGAAACCCGCAAAATAGACTCCAGGGGAGGAGAACCAGTTCCCAGAACCTCTCCAAGACTGGTGGGGAGATAGTCATAAAGGTCAGCAGATAGATCTGGAATTATGTACGCTTTTTTAATGGGTTTTCTGCTAGGTTTTTTTTAATCTCTTTTTATTCAAACTTTTGTTTTGTTTCTGTTATTTTTGTCTTGCCTATGTGTATAAGACAGGCACGGGAAGCAAGCCCGAGGAGAAAGCAATGGGACTGATGGTTTAGAGGGACCTGGGGGAAGGAGGAGATGGGAGAAGGAAGTAGTGAGGGGAAAAACTAGGGAAATAAAGGCAACCAAGAGGAAGGCATAGAGATTCTACTGATGTTGGATCAACAACAATCTAGCTGAGAGGAATTACTAAGAGGCAGAAGAAGGGAGAGTGTGATGGTGGGGCAGGAGGAAGATAAAAGGAAACAGAGGAAAGACCTAGGAAGCAAAGCTATGGATAGAGGTATAAACATAGGTGTGCACTTATGTAAATATATTAATTCATAGAAATAGAGGTATTGACCTAAGTACGTATTTTTATATGGCAATGCATTGAGGAAGTGGAAGAGGACTTTGGTCCTCTGCTCCAGCCCTCTCTCAATGCAAGAACACCTGATTCTGACAATCTGGCCTTCTCACCCTCCCGGCACGATCTCTGAAGACAATGCAGGTGCATTAGCAAATGTGGTGAAGAAAGCTGATGGTGCTATCAAAAGTTATAGCATCTAGGTTCTTAAAGACTTGAAGTTAAACAAGTGGCCATCTAGCAGAGAAACAATAAGCCCGCATGGAAGAAACACACCAACCTGTGTGATCATGAGGTGTGGATGGCATCAGGTTAAAAGCACCAGAAGATCCAAAACAAATGTATTGTTGAGAATGAGGAAAGGGTTGGAGCAGAGACCCAAAACTCATCTTTAGACAATAGAACATCCCCTCACAGAAGAGTCATAAGAATGGGAGGAGCCAACCACGGCGCAGTATAGCACTGATGAAACACACAATATTCCTCTGGTTCTTTGAGGCTTCCTCACCACCACCACCACCACCACCACCCCCACACACTATAATGACCCCAGTCCTGCCTTTCAGTTCTGGCTAGACCATAGCATGTACGCTGGTACAGATAAGAGCTCATGACACACAGATCCAGGTCAGATAAACCCCTCAGGAACAGAACTGGGAGTATTGATACCGGGAGGGTAGAGAGAAGGTGAGGAGAGGAGGGGAGAAAGGGAGAACTGATCGAAATGTTCGGCACATAATCCCACACACACATACAGGGGGATGAACAACAGAAACATGGGTGAAGGGAGACAACAGTTGGTGTAAGACATAAAAGCAATAATAATTTGTAAGTTATCAAGGGGTTTCAAGAGTGGGAGGGGAGAAGGAAGGAAAAAAAGAGGAGTTGATACCAAGGGCTCAAATAGAAAGTAAATGTTCAGAAAATAATTACGGCAACATATGTACAAATATGCTTGAAACAATCAATGTATGGAATGTTATAAGAACTGTAAGAGCCCCCAATAAAGTGACATAAAAAAATTAAATGGTCTCCTTTATCTTATTCAAACCTTGACAAGATACCTTGTTTTCACACTCACCATCATTTGCAGGGTGGGCTGGCCCTCTAGCTCTCTGCAGCACAGGCAGACCTGTGGCTCTTCCAGTCCCAGGTAAATGGGATTGCCTTTGTTTTTCTCAAGAGTCTCCGGATAATTGCATGCAATTAAGGTCACATTGACTGAGAACGCAACATTGGGAAAAAAGAGTTCAGGTGTCAGTGGTATATCTGAACCAGGTAATTGAGGCTGAATTCACTAACGGAATAGACACCAAGTGAGCACCCGCTATCTTCCCGAAACACATATCTCCCTTTTCACAAAACTGTCCATTAGCAAAATCAGACTTCAGTCGAATCAAAACGGGCCTGACCTGTGATTAAACTCTTTTGTTTTCCTCAGAGATTCACAGGAAAAGTTATTTCCTCATTTTCCAGCTTTGGCCCCTTGAGTTTTCTTTGACATCATGACCATAGTCACAGATCATCTTCTAGGATCTAGATCATTGTTGGCAATCTCCAAGTCCCTTGTGTCCTGTGAAGTGCCCGCATCTCTGAGTTGGCGCCGTTACACGCACATGTGAAATAAAAGGCTGAGCACAGAACTCCCAACTGCGCTGGCCAAAGGGGCCGGGACCCCAACAAATCTTGGCCACTTACCTGGAACGACGCCATGCTTCCTTGGGACGGCGATGAGAGTCTGGTCTTGAAAGAGCCACACCTGATGACTGATGTCCTGAATGTTCCCCAAGAGAGGTTCTTTCCTGGCTGAGACTGTAAAGAAACCACAACACAAATACTCGTATGTGAGAGCTAGAGAATGGAGTAGCCCTCTTCTCAATTGGTGCCTTTCCATGAGGAGCTTATAACTAGCTCACAGCAAATCTCTGATCTATTATAGTAAAATTGTTTCAGACTGGCTAAGATTTTCCCAGGAGAGACTATGAGCCAATTCCAGGCCACAATTTGTCCCTGGGTCAGGAAAAGGCTATATTCAGCCAGAATCTACACTCCTAAGAACTTACCTTGCCCCATCATCTTCTTGGCCACAGTCTACTTCCCAGGAGAAGCAACTGTACCTATGAATACTGTCCACGCCTAGTCCCAGAGGCCTAAGATGATAGGAGAAAGACCTAGAAGCAAGAGAATATCATTGGCCAGCCAACTTCCCAGATCCAGGGTATACCACCACCAAACTCTTTATAGATGACTCTCTGTGCATGCAATCCTGAACGATTGCTTCTACCACTCTGAAGTGCTTTCATAGGCGTTAATAGGGCCCTGGCCTTTTATCTGCATGAGTAAGAAAGGGTGTTCTGCTTCAGTGAGTCTACAACTGCCCAGCCCTCTGGGTAGTTCACTAGTTCCTGGTGCAGAGAATTCATTTAAATGAATGAACGTCATGTACAGTGTAGTTGTGACCCGTCTACACACCCACAGAAAGAACACACTAAATCCTTAGGAGAAATGACCAGGAAATAGTCACAAACAACTGAGCATGAGGGAAGAAATAGTATGGGACTATCCCAGGGTCGATGACTGGATTCTCATTTCTCAAAATGACACTCTGGAATAGTCCTAAGAATGGGAATCCTCAATAGAGGGACGAGAAGACACCCCTCCCCCCCACCATAGTCCTGTGTACCTTTTGACCAGGAAAAATATCACCCCAGTATGACCTACTTCCAATTTTCAGAGCCACAGTGCATACCGCTTCATCACTGGAGGGAATCTCACTAGGGCAAGACCAGCTCCCGAGGGTCTAGCCTTCAGTGGACTCTAGATCATGATGCTGGTGCAGTGTCATAGGCAAGCTGGCCTAGCACATGCTTCAGTGTTCTGATCCAGAAGTCCTTGGCTCTTATTAGGTCTTCCATAAAGGAAAGGAAAGGCAATGTGCTTGATGCTTTACCCCATTCCCTCAGAGTTCTCAGTACTTTTAAAGCTCAAGAACTTTCAACTTCAAGGGCAACTAGAGGGCAACCTCAACCAAGGAAGACTGGTGGGACAATGTTAGGGCATGTTTCACAGGGTTTCTCAGGGTTTCTCAGGTGACTCCCACTGGGATGGAGCTCCAGTTACCCACAACAGTAACCGACTTAGAGTTCTTTCATTGGCTTTGGGAGAACTCAGAAGATCGCAATTACCAGCACCGTTGGGTACAAAGCATGAGGTTGTATTCAAAAGGTGTTCATTCAAAGTTGAGCTTTGTGACTTTTAGACTCTGTGCCTTTGGTAAAGTCTGCTTACAGTTCTAGACCTTGGAGCACCTTCCAAGAACTAGACTTGTACCTTGCTAGATTGTGTAATGATCATGCATTAGACTGTCATCCATCTGATTGGCCGTTTGAAACCACCTGCAGCTCCGAGGAAAAAAGACTGGGCTTTCGACTCTCGTAAACAGGTACAGTCTCAGAAGCACACCGGGGGTCACTGTGAGTCAGTATTGGCTCCAAGGCAGTGAGTTTTGGGATTGGGAGCTTGTTATTTGGGTTACAGAAGAGTATGCACAGACCCAGTATGTGACACCTTCCTGGTACAACTAATATAGCAAGAAAGTGAGATACGCATTGCATCAGGCCCCAGGTGGGCCCCTGTTCTCTCTCCCATTTATCTCCCAGATTGAAACAAATCATCTATTTATTTCTGCCAGCCCTTTTGCCGTGACTGCACACAGAACTTCTGCTCCACCAGCCTACCTGACCATCTGAGGAAGCCCTCCTCCCATTTGTCTCCTATGCTCTTCTGAAAGTAAGTAGGTTATAAAAGGTCATTATGATCTTGTCCTGTGGAGGCACTCCCTACAGAAAGGTAGAGTTGAAGAGCCTGTACTGAAAAGTGTAGTAGGTATCCCTGAGCCAAAACTTGGATTCAAAATCAAGTTGTGTAGGAGAAGGCACTATCCTGAATGTCCGTTGGCATGAGTTGATTTTTCTTTTCAAACCAACAGCCTTACCTTATTGTGATCAATATATAATCGTTTATCAATTTGAGGATTAGGAGTGTAGGGGTGGAGTCTACCTTATCAATCAGATCATAGTCAATAAGGCTTCTGTGTGGGCATGGCCTTCTCTTGAGAATTCTGGGAAATCCTGTACTTCCTCCTTAGAGGCAGGAGACACTTCTCTCTGACACTCCCTGGGAGACATTGCAGCTGACAAGACACATGGAACTACGCCAGTGACCTAAATTAGAGAAGCCACATGGACCTACCCTGATGCAACCAGACCTCTGAAGCCAGAGGAGCCACATAGAGACCCCTGCCAGCGTTGAGATTTTTCCAATGCCACTGGATCCAAAGACTTTCTACCCACTGACTTGTGATCGTCCTGCATTCGGTGTCATTGCATGTGTTTCGTGAGTCTGAAGAGGACTTTATAGATTGGTATCAGACATATGGGCTAATATAGGACTTATGGACTTGATCT